AGCCCGTGATAATAAGATATGGTGTTGCCAAACTACAACTTATCCTCTCCTTCGGCGCAATGAATGAATTTCACATTTTATAGCATTAGTTCTGAATAAACAATTTCGTACACTGTTTTTTTTAATATTTCACTTCTTCCAGTCCTTTGTCTCGTCGTTGTCGTCATCGTCATCTTCATTTTCATTCCTTTTCTTTCGCCTCAATTGTCTAAGATGAGAATCCTTTTTTCTCCGTCGGCGGCGTCTTTGGATTTTGGCATCGCTTTTTTGCTTGGCATCACAGTCTTTTGTTTAGTTATTCAGTCGTTATTTCCACTGTTATCACATGTATATATGCTCGCCATATGCCGCAAATATGATTACATTCTCTTTGTCTACAAAAACACATTTGCCTTGGCTCAAGAGCATTGCAGCATGGTTGTTTTGTTTACGTTTTCCAGCTTCTTGAGCATGTTTTTCGATGGGCTTCATATGATTTTCATTTCAGCAATGTATTGTCAAACGAAAACGAAAAATTAAAATTTCATGGCGTAAACACAGGGCACACGCTTTCGTCTCATGCGGAGATAATTTCATGCAATGTCGTCGATAATTTCGATAGCTTAAGAATTAAACCAGTTTTAATGTTATGAACAGTTTGTCGTTTATGATTGGGGAGATTTGGAGCTGGTTTTCTTTTTAATGGCGGTGAAGTGAACAAATGAGCGGAAACATGTGACCTTTCACAGTAAAGCGACCGAATAAAACGTCTATCGAAACTTAGCGATGACAATCAATCTAAGAGCCAACTTGATATGGCCAAAAATAAAACAAGGTCATGTCATAGAATTATATATAATATTTGTACATGCGCGACAAACGCAAAAATTATGATGATTGCTTTTGCCCGCCAGAAAATCGGCTCTATCTTTTGCTCCAGCAGTCGGATAATAATGACCCCGCGCTCTTCCTATTCAACCAAAGAGAATGGAGTGTATGTGGAACACTGAAAGAGTGATCAAAGCATTGAGTTCAAGACACAGCAGCAGATAAGCGTAATATGACCATTTTACTGAGATGCTTGGTCACGCACTACACAGAATATTAGGAACATTTTCTATGATTTATGCATGTGATGTGTTGTGTGCGAGAATATCACACAATCACAAATATATGACATCCACACTCAATATCCATCCTGTGATGAAAAGGACTCCAAAACATTTTTCAATCCCCAAATGTTCCCTTCTTCGTAACGTACTGAAGAGGAGGAAAAAAAATGAGAAGCGAAGTGCATAAAGCGAACATCATTGTTATGCTTCTAGTGAATTGCTTTTCTTTTTAAAAAGGTGATTTGAAATTTAAGCCTTACTTTGAAATTCGAGACGAAAAAAATGATTCCAATGAATTACGTGCTTTCTTTGAGAAGGTTTTCGTCATTAGCAAAGAAAAGGAAATTATATCTTTTTACATGTTCTTCGATTCCTCGAGAAAAAGACATTATTAAAAATGAGGAACAAACATAAGAACGTATTTTATAAATCATTGACATTTTCATCGCAAATTTCATCCAATTACGAATGGGATAGTGTTCTTTCTTTGAAAGAAGAAAAAAAAATGAACGCAATAAATTTGACACGTTTATCTTTCTTTCCTAGTCAGAAAATGTTCACCCAGTTTGAAAATTGGAAGCAAAATGTGGATGATAAACCGGGCTTAATTTTGTGAATAGTGAAAAAACGTGTCTGCATCAGTTGACGTAACATCCAAAACTGCTCGGATGAAAACGCAAAATGTTGCTCATTTTGATTAATGAACTTGCGCCAAGTTCATAAGGCAGCGCGCCTCATTAAATTGAGAAAAGGGAAGAATTTACAAAATATGTCGCAGATTATCTCTATCTCTCTGTTTTTTTTTTTTGTGAAATTTGATAAGCCCATATGTATCAACGTCGTACCATTTTGTGTTGTCTATACTTGAACAGAATTTTGTTGTCGTTAACTTTCGAAATGGCTTTTCGAAAGAAAAAAAATTATATCTATTTGAATCATGTGAAAATCCAAACTTCAAACGGGAGGTTGTATCTATTCTGTTGCAGAAATTTAATAGCATTATTTTGTGAAGAGACAGACAATTTTTTCTATTTGTCTTTGCTTTTAATCGCAAAAAGATACAGTTTCTCGCAGAAATTTCCTCGAAATCTGAATCTTTTTGGCGCGATACATGAATCATATCCGTCTGTGGAACTTGAATCCTTCGGAACATACGTGCATTTCGAAACCGACTGCACAGAAATTTAATTTGTCTGATAGCGGCGCGGGAATTTCGTCTCGAATATGTGGAGCGTGTGAATTTTGTGCAAAAACGCATTTTGTTATCATAAGCAGACGCAAAAAAGTCGGATTTTCATTAAAAACTTTCAATTTAACCAAGTTTCCCATCCACACGCTCCACGCAAATAATTCGTGCATTTCAGAAAATTTAAACATTTTCAGTAATTATAATTACATACTAGGCAGTCCTCGTTTCATGCACCCTGCCCACTGAATGAGTATGTCAAAGCATGTGCGCTTGATTTTTGATAATAACGTAAATAAATAATTACACACAGCCACTCAGCAAAGTATTTGGCCCAGTTTCTGTGAGCTTGCACATTTGCGCTTGTCAAATAGCAAGCACATCGCTCTTGCTACGCTCACGCACTGCGATAGGAACGTACATTCTCGTTTCTGGTTCGTTTTTGATATTTCAAAAGAGATGAAAATGTGACATGAAAATTAATCAATTTTATGGTTTTTGCATTTCGGTGAACGGTTCACACAAATAATAAGATATCAAATTGACGTCAGTTTTAAGGGAAAAAGTGACGTTCATCTTCAACAGCTGTAGATGAGAGATTACTGTTTTGTCTTTGCTTTTTGATCATTACTGTGTGATGCTTGCCAGCCCCACTCAATTGTGAAACCTTATGGTGGCGGGCGAAACACTGTGTGCTTGCATCAAGAAAAGGATAATATCAAATTGACATTAAAATTGGATAAAATTTCAAATGAAATACTTTTTTCTCATTACTCGAAATATTCAATCATAGATTTGATAAAAATTCTGCGATGGAAATGCAAGACAATCAAAGAAATGACAGAACGTCAACCAACCAAATGCTATTCGTCTTCATACATTCGCAAAATATTATCAGCGAGAGAGAGGTAGCGTATTTCTTGGAAACGATTCCGTACTCATTAAAAAATCAAGTCAAGTCAAAACTTGGTTTCAGTTGAAGGGCTGTCGGAAATTTAATTTGTCACAACGGAAATTCAGTATGTGTGCGTTATTTTTTAGCAGTGCGTAAACAAATTGTTCCAAATGAATCGCACCTTTTCACAAAATCACTGATTACATGTTAACAAAACACACATACGACAAATTTTATATATTTATTTGAGTGTAAAATAATTGACATATCAACATCAAGAAATTTAAGTAAGTGAATATGTCGTCGTCGTCATCGTCGGTGCAAACACTTCACACTCTCGAACCCCTTCTTTTTATCCATATTTGTATTCATCCGTTTAATGCTCGTTTCGTCTATATTTGCAGTTATGAAGCATATTACATTTACATTTGATGGAGAGGTTAAGCTCACGCAGAGACTGAACCATGGTGACGCTGGAGAATGTTGATGAAAGATGTTCAAAAATAATTTTCCCGCATGGCATTTGACGGGTATTGGGGACACATTGTGGAAAGTACAGCACACATGTTCAAAGTTCAAAAATTGAACAATTTCTCGCACTACGAACAAAAGTAGACACCTTTTATTCAGCATGTGGAATGTGAATGATTTGCATTTCGAAGAAACAAAATTATGAGTACTTTTTCTCTGAAAATGAAGCCATACTTGGTGTCACCTAATGCGTCATCTTTAGGTGGAAAAGTATGAAATCGTTCGTGGACACGAGCATGAATTCATTTTCGAGATACTATTATTAATATTTTTCAACTAGTTTTGCAGAATCGATTTAAAATTTATATGTACTGTAAGTTAGAAACTTTTAAAAATCCATTTAATTTTCCTTCAACTACGTTCAAGCGGTGAATGGGCGTTTATAGAATTCAACATTTCAAGTTAAAATCACCTTAATCCCATTTTTTGCACCTTTTTTTTGTTGCAAATAGTATTTATATGTATACAGTAGAACCTCGATTATCCGTCCTCCTATTATCCGTCACCTCCGTTAACCGTCATACCTTTTCAAGGTGGAAAAGTTTTTTTTCAGTTCATTTTTCAGTTTATTTCACTTGAACATACGAATAAAGTTGCCAATTAACTTTCATAATCAAAATCAATTGTGTGCCCCTTGTACATTCGCACAATAAGATTTGAAATTAGAGGCTTTACGTTTTCGATACACTTCTCGTATATACAAGATTGTTCAATATTTTGGACAATGCACCAAATCTGTTCTCATATCTATGTATTATATATTTTTTACATCACCTTGTTTTTCATCATAAACTAATTAGAAAGTATGGAAATTTTGATTATTTTGTTTTATTTATATGAAAGTCTCGATTATCCGTCTTTTTCGATTATCCTTCAATGCGCTGGTCCGGTGCCTGACGGATAATCGAGGTTCTACTGTAGTAGTGAGTATAAAAGACTATATGCTCCATTCAATCACAACTTTACACTCATTTCATTTGTGTAGTGTGCTAGTGCGTTTAAAAGCATATTTTCAAATTGATGTATTCCCACAGAGTAATGAATGAACCCATCAAAAATGTGTTGATGGATTTAAACGGAATGAGGCACAATTTGACGAAACCAAATAGAAAAAGTTTTGCAAAGTAATTTTTCCCTAAATGCGAAAATGTAATATATAAAAAGATTAACCTCAACATACAAACTTTGTTGAGTAAAATTTTTTCTTTTCAAATGTTGAAAATGTTCGGGCTTATTCTGAGTGTTCTGAAAATATGTGGAAACATGTAAATAAATAATAAAAGCGAATGCCACTTACCAAATACCACTGCTCTTTGAAAAATGGATCTGGGAAAAATAACGGTTCGCCTACTTGTCGGTACTGGATTCGTGATTGGGGTGCAATGCTACGAAGCATTCCGAGTTTCTGATAATTGTAAAAATTGGTTGTGTAATCGCGCTTCTTGCGCACCTTCTCATGCTGCTGTTGAAACCATCGAACCTAAACACAAGACACAAACAAATCAAATAAATTATTTATACATTTTTGTTGTTGTATTGCCGGGTAAATTATTTATAAATTCAAAGAGCGGCAAATGATTGATGCAAACATTCATGAAGAATGTAAATTTCGAATGTAAATTACATGAAAATTGTATTTGATAAAAGCTGAAAATTAAAAATGTCATGATGTATATGGTACACACACATCCATATATAGAAAGTTGCATGTCTGATAACAAGCTCATTGAAAATTAACATTTGAAAACTTTGTGCATTTTCGAAACTGGCGAGTTGCATGGACGACTACTGTTACATGGATGTTGTTATTCGAACGTGGTGCTTATCGGTGGTTTTTTTTTGTTCTATTTCTCGTAAATTTTCCCTTCGATATCATTTGTGTCGCTCAATTACTCTGGCTGATTTCCCAAAGCGCCGCTATTCGTATCAGCACATTCCAATCAATTTCATCAACATAAACGATTTGTTGTTAATGAAAAGAACTTTTTTGAATTTATTATGTTCCGCCATGTGACGATTTACCACATCCTCCCATTGCAGTTTGTCGACGCATGAAAATTATTCAGAATGTTAAAATGTTACGATTGCGAGAAAAGTTAAAAAAAAAAATTTGAATTAATTTTTCAATTCAGACAAGTGTTCAACTCCAAATGAATTGAAGATGATTTGAAATCACATTGAATATTTGATTTCCATGAATGATGATAATTTGTTTGATATTATGGGTGTGCAAAACACAACAGATGTGATTTTTCTGCTTAGCAGCGAAAAATTTAAAATACAAATACAATTAAAAGCGTCGTTATGCTTTGGATTGTTTGCCGCCGCCGACAATTCGCGACGTCTTCACCGCACTCATCATCAACATCATTTAAAATGTTCACTGTGAATCGATATGAATCGAAAAATAACATGCTATTCTCGTCAAGCAGTCTACGTACGATTCATTTCGTCGGTAGAATGGTTTTGACTGATTTTTAAGGGTCTGGGTGTGGGATGGTGGTAAATGCATGAAAATCGTTGGAATTAGGCTCATTGTTGTGGTAAAATGAGACTTTCTGTGGTGCGATCCAAAGAAAAACAGTCTGTTTGAAAATGTATGCTATCCTTGGGGAATTTTGTATCAAATGCGCCATGTACGTGTGTGCCTCATCGGCAAAACTCTCATTCGAATGTGGGACGATGCAAAGTCATGTTGTTTTCTTTGTACTATTTACAATTGGTCCTTTAAATTTATAACAGAGATTGAAATCGCAGCAAAAAAAAATAATGAATTACGCACGCATTTGGTAATTTAACAACATGACAGGGGGGGGGGGGATGAGATGAGCCGTTCAAATTGTTCTAGACAAATATTTGAGTGTAATATTTATGTTTTCGTTAGCACACTTTTTGCGCTTCTAAATGGATGTTACGCGAACTTGAGCGAGCGAAATTGCTTGCTTGAGTTGTGTGAAGAGCAATCAATTGAAATTGTCGTGGCTTGCTTGATAGTATTGTTCATGAAAATGAAAGCCGAAATTAAGTATACTTTGTGGTGGCACCAGTTGCTATGAAGCACGTGAATTCGCCGAGGAATTTACAAAGAGATTTCCTTCCTTTCAACTTTTGAAATTACATGTCTTTGTGCAAATTCGTGTGCGATGAACGCACTTCAGAGCTCTTTGACTCTCAAGATATTTCGCAAGACTCATTAAAGCCAACAATGGATTTTTGATACAAATTCACACAACCGCAAACATTTCCTTCCGTTTTTTTCTCTCCTTAGTCCCATTTTCTCTGCCATCGAAATTAAAACGCGGCATAAGTGGTACTTTTCATTCGATAAAAAGCAAAGCCTGTAGAAGTTTTACGCCTCAATAGACAAAGTGGAGTTTTTTTTTCTTCTTCTCTTTGGGATTTAGCTTGAGCTTATGCTAAACCCATTCGAACGCACTTCCAGTTTTCCGTGTGACGACTTTCAAAGTATCATCATATGATGTATTCAATTATACATAACGTCGACGGAAATTACGTCATTGTCATTCGAATGGAATCGAAGCGCGACACAAATGCAGTCGAGCGCTCAATAGACAATTCGAATGAATCAATAACCTAATCACTTGAAGAGTTTTCAACTTCAAACAAGTCAATTTTAAATTAATTTATTCAATGCTTTCCATCGTATTTCTTAGACATTTGTACGTTGATAAGTTCTCATTAGTTTTGTCTACGCTTATCATCTATGAGCATTTACTTAGATGTTTTTTTTTTTGTCAAACTTACCTCCGGTTCTGATTTCAGTGTACCATGATGCTCTTGGCTGTGGCTTAGCGAACGCTTCGATACGTGCCTATGATGAAACAGATAATAGTTCTTCAAGCTGCCAATCTGCAAATAAAATGGAATCGATATTTAAATTGTATTACCAACCATTCAGTTAAATAAGTCAAAATTGGTTTTTTTTAATCAACGGTATTTGAAAAAAGAACAGACTTTTTCATTTCAATATCAATACTTTACTAATTTTATTGGATTATTTCAGTAGAATTAATTAAATGGAAATGTTCCCGTGTTTTTTTTTGTTCTTGTACTTGCTTCATTTCGATGAAAAATTTATTAAATCAGACTAGGTAGAGAAAAAAAATTGACAATGTCATTTCTCACTAAAAGCTGCATTTTGTATGAGGATAAAACTTAATTTTGGTTTGATACCATTTTTAATGAGGACTGAATTGTGCAATTTGCTTGAACAAATTGGATTTTTTTTCCATGTTGATGCTGTTTAATTATAGTTCCATGATATTATTTCATATTCAATTCACTTTATTATTATGGTTTTAAAAAAATGTTTAAATAAATTATATATGAATAATCCTCGTGTTGGACACGTGCCGAACTCAATTTCAACTCGTAACGTGTTTTTTTCGTTATTCAGACATTTTCACATGTTGTGTCGTCATGAATCTTTGATGGAATTTTGAACATGCCATTTTTCATTAATTTCTTGAAACAATTCTCATGTTGAGCCGCGACCATTTCGTTTTCCATTAAAATTATGTTGGAGCGTTGAACAAATTGGAAGCGACATGCAATATTATTAAAATTCATACAAATTACTATGATTATTCGGAACGGGGCATTTCAAATGGTCATGAGGATGAATCACAACTTGTGAAGAAAACAAAATAACACGTTGTTAAGTCATTAATGAATACTTTCAAGTAGAATTAAATTCTTTTAAAGAATTTCCCCGAATGAAACTGTGATCCTGTGTGAATTATGAGTGCTTGTGAACCCAAAAACAGAAAACAACGGTCCAAATATGAAAATCGAAAACATAGAACCGAAAGAGAATCACAAAAAAAGTTATTTACATTTTTAATAAGATTAGAACATTTTATTTTGATGAGTTTGTCGTCTTGTGTTGTTTGTGAGTTGTGTCGGCTTGGAAAAACACTCTCAAGAGTCCAGCAAGCGAGTCAAGAGGAAATTTGAAGCCTCTTTTCGTGCTCTTTCCCATTTCACTTCATTAAATTGCACACAATTTCGTTTCTTTTTTGCTGTCTTCTATCCGAAAAAATAATGATTCAAATGTGTACGCGAATCATAAGGGGAACGAATACATTAGTATGAGAGAAAAAATGGGACAGATAATAGGATTGATAAGTAAGGCCATGACACTGCAAATAACACTGTAAAATATGACCGAGGAACAAAAGAAAAATTATACCAAAATCTCATCTTTTCTCAAGCCCATTCAAATTGATTACTCCGTGTATCAGAATTCATTTCGCTTGGTTTAGCTTGGTTCGGCTCGGTTCGGTTCGGCCGAGAAGCTGTGCATTGTAAAATCTTTTCTTGGATGTCATTAGCGCCACTATTTGCCAATCAAGCGGAAAATCTGGTGGAATTTTCTACTCTTTTTTTCTCTGCCAAAACAGACAAATTTGTTTTCCAAGAAAACAAAAATGTTTGAAAGCCATCAAAGAAATATGCTCATCACTTTGAAAGTGTTGAAAAAACGGCTGTAATTTTCAACAAACAAATTGAAACGTGCATAGCAATCTTCTTTTTATTTAAAATTCATAATTTTTCACGGCATTTTTTTCTTCTGCACTGTCTCACGCTGAACAGACCCACATTATGTCTGAATGCATGAATAATGGCATATCACGACCGCTTCAAATGATGTTTTCGCACACATTTTTGTTTTTCTACCCTCTATATTTTCATTCACTCTCGTTCGACGATGTTGTTATTAACGTTATACTTAACTTTACACGTAACTCGGTTACTCTTCCACTTTTACACAAATCATACAACCAATGCAAAGAATTTCCCATTTTCCAGTGCTCCAAAAACACTGCACCGGCGAATGGCGAACGACAAAAAAGACAGAAGAAAACAACGTCAAAAAGATGAACGATGAATGGAATTGTGTTGTTAAGTGAGAAAAAAGGATGTATACAAAATTAAAAAAAAGAGTCCAAGCACACAAAAAGAGCGAATGGAGCTGATGTGGATCAATGCGAATGAAGGAGGACAAAAAAAAATTCTAAAAAGCATTTTCTTCTTAATGGATGGCCTATGCAAAGCAATGTGCTTGACATTTTATTCAGTTTTTCTTCCCCGTTGTCCCATTTTTTTTCATTCGACAGATTGAGAATATATGGATCTTCGGTTCATTCATCGCCCATTGTTATCATCGCGTTCGTTGCAGTCTATTGAATCGCTCGCCAGATCGAAAAAGAAAAAGTAAGGGATATTTTTGTGAAATGTATTTTTAATTTGTGCGCTTTCTATCTGTCTCGTTGAAGGCCATTCATTGGTGCTTGAGCTTGAATCGAAATGACATCCATTAAATATAATTCAGCTCTCGAGATGACATACACAAAATTCTTTTGTGGAAGTAGGGGAAAAAATCGAAACAATGTTTTTCTTTCGGCTCCATTTCCATTTATTTGCGTAATGATCCTTTTTCATTACTTTCGCAAATAGAAGTTGATAGTGTACAGTGTACACGACATGGTCTTGGATATGTGTTTGTTTAGGATTGTCTGCTCACAATTCTAGCTACCAAACAAATGACAGGCATCCCTTTTTTCAGTCGCCCCAATAGAATTATGACAAAGGAATTGTAAACAAACGGCAACTTCTTGGTGAACTTTATGAAACTCATACTTTATTAGATATGAAAACTGCTCGTGGCGCTTGACATTTTTTGCGATGTTTTTTTTATTCAATGCACTATAGAAGTAAATAATATGAAACTTATTACTTATTACCGATTTTCGGTAATAAGATCGGTAATAACTCAGTTTTATTACCGATTTTATTACTTGTAATAAGTAATAACCGAAATAATAAATATTACCGATTTTTACTTCTATACCATGCACTCGTTCATTTTGTTCATAATAATTTAACGCACGAAGGCGTCACTGGCAAACAAATGATTAAGACCTAAAATTGGATCAATCCCGTTTTAATTACAGCTTAAACAATAACAGAACGGATTATTTTACGACAGTGGCCTCCTGTTTGTTTTACAGTAATGATGCTGTAAAAATGACGGTCTTGTGAGAAGAATTACGAAGAAATGAGCTAGAGATAAATGATCCTAATTTTAGCTCTTGTTTTGCAAATTCAGAAGCTGTTTTTGCGTATTTAATTACGTATGTGACATGCGGCATGTCTATCCTATTTAGTAAGCAAATAGAGCTATGGGTACAATTTCTTATGATTCAATAACTACACACACGTTTATCAAATACGGCGTCATTCGGTTTGATTTATTTTCTGTTTATCACATGGATAATATAAAGTAAGCAGTGGTTGTATCAACGATTTTTCTTTTCGAAAAACAAACTATACAGAATACTGCAACTTAGATGATATCCATTGGATAGCGATTAAGATGAAAAAACCTAGGGGCATTTCTCACGAAAAGAATGAATGAATTCTTATAAATTTTGAAAAATTTCTTCCGTTCGGTCCGATTCGATCAATTTTTATCAATTCGTGTGAATAAATGTTCATTTACACTGAACTTTTGAATTATGCTTCAATGAAATTGTTCTGGAAGTGGGTTTTGGTGGATCTCAAGGATCGTTCAGAACTGCTCCTGGTTCAGGAAGTGGATCTTCAGGATGGGCCAGGGCAATGTCAAACCGGATCTGGTCCATCCTGAGGATCCACCAAAACCCACTTCCAGAACACTTTTATTCAAGCAATATCGTCATTTCAGTACATTTTCTTACAATTTCAATAAAAAAGAAGAAATAATAGACATTTTTGCACATTTGCTCAAATTTTTTGTGTGAGAAATGCCCCTAGGAAAAAACAAATTTGACCAGAAAATGGTTATTTTAACAAGAAATGAGATTTCGGACATGAAAAATGTATCCGCCGGTGCAGAGGCACTGGACTGAGGAAAACGCTTTGTTTGGTGTGCCTCAAACGGCTTGCCAAAAAAAATGTTCCCTGGATGATATTTAAAAAACCATACATGTTAAAAGGAGAAAATTTTCCATTTGAATATCATTGTTCACTAAGAAGATTCGAGTTGTTTATTTCTTATGCAAAGGTTGGGGGCAAGCACAAGTTGATTATTTGTGAACTCTTATTTTTCCTGGTTTTAAAAAATGGATACAAATGTTTATATTACACATTTATAATCACAAGAGACACGAGTAGGACAAAAAGACATAGAGAACACAAGTAGGAGAGGAGTACACGAGTAGGACATTTTTTTTGGCTTTTTTTTAGATTGACTTTAGCGATCAAAATTAGACAGTCAAATGTCAAATACACAGAAAAACAGCAGAATATTTATAAAAATAATCAAAATGCATTTGAATTATTGAAAACAGTATCATTTCAAATAGCTGGATAGAGACTTATCATGTCTAAACCATATGTATTTCACTGATTAGGATTTTTCATCCCCTAGACTGATGATTTATACCATATGTCTTATCTGTATTGACGTCTAACGCTTTATAAACGCGGCTTTCGATATGTGAAGGCTTTTTTGTCGGGAAAAGTTCAGATTGATCAACTCTTATCAACAATCATCTGTACGAGAACATAGAAAAAATATATTCACACTCCAAGATGTGCCGAACTGAAAATCTTTTCGATGCAGAAAATGGTACGGCCACAAGATGAGGTTACAAAATGTGGGAAATTCATTCAAAACAATTATTCATTTTCTATCAAAAGCTCGTAGAGACTCGGATGTTCATCCTCAAATAAACCATTCGACACCCAAAAAGAAAGCAGTTGAAATGGATGAAGCCATTTCGAAAACCAGTAAGTGGCGAAATTATTCGATTTTGAAATTTTAAAAAGTTTCAAACCGAAATCGTTTCCTTCGAATTTTATATTCCCTACCTACTACTCAATACCATTTTTTTCCCTTTAAATAGAATTTGGAGTCTTCAACTATTTCGTCATTTGCGTAACCGGCCTCGTTTTGTATACAGTTATAGCCGAAACATGTGCCATTTGTTATGTACTCCCAATTTTGGATTGTGACATGACTGATGTGACCACTGCTCAAAAAGGAGTTTTGGCTGGTGTTGCATTTGTTGGTGTCATTTGTTCGTCGCATTTATGGGGTTTTTTGGCGGATACTAAAGGCCGTCGCTGCGTTATTCAACCCACTCTTTTCGTAACGTTCCTATTGTCCGTCACCTCTTCATTCATTCAGAACTTCTATCTTTTTGTCGCACTGCGATTCCTCAGTGGATTCTTGTAAGTTCAATCATTTTCCACTTATTTTTCATATTGTCATACACAAACACATCTGTATTATTAGTGTGTCTGCCTCGAGTGGTAATATGTTCGCATATTTAGGCGAATTTCATAACAACAAGCAGAGGAGCCGTGCGATAATGAGTGAGAATATATTTTGATACAGTTTTTACAGTTAAGGATATATTTTAAAACTTAATTACTACTTTTTTCACTAAAAAAAGGTGCAACCGTAATATATAGTGCTTTGTGTGTAATTCAGCCAATAGCCGCATGGGCTGTAATAAATCAGGAATGGCAATTCGAAGTTCCGTTCATTGGTTTGACATACAAACCGTGGCGTTTATTTATCATTGTCTATGCATTGCCTGGGCTGTTTTCGGCATTAGCCCTACTATTTCTGCCAGAGTCACCAAAATTCGTGCTTGGTCAAGGACATAAAGTGGCAGCTTATCAAATTTTGCAGAAAATGAACCGATGGAATAATGGGAAAAAGGAACCTCTAGAAGAATTCGAAATTCACGAAGAATCCGAAACTGTTGCAAACAGACAACGCATTTTAGCGAAAAAAGATAGTCGGTTCCCATTACTAAAAACGGTTTGGCATCAAACCGCTCCACTGTTCAAAGCACCGTATTTGAAGTCAATGGTGTTGATTTGTACAATTCAATTCGGTATCGTTTTGACGTGTCAAGGCTTTGCAATGTTCTTTGCTGAGATCATAAATAAAATGTCGGATAATTTAGACAGTTTCTACGATCAGAGAATGATGATGTGTGATATACTTGGTAGGAAGTCAGTTAATATCAGTGTAATGAACGAGATAAATGATGAGGTAAATTATTCATATGATTGCTCTTGATAAGAATTCCGGCAATAAAGATACATTCACATCTAGATTTGTGTCGATAAACTAGATCTGTCGACGCTGGGAATCGGTCTTGCTATCGAAGTCATATTTGCACTAAGCAGTGCTCTGGCTGGTTTGTTGATTAATAAAGTCGGGAACTTTGCAATTATATGTAAGATTATACGATATACGCACCATTTCAATTGGTTTAAATTTAATCTGATCGTCATCTTTGTTTCGAATCAGTTTTCGTTTTATTGACGTGCGGGCTAAGTGGTATAGGATGCATGCTCACCGATATTCCAGCCTTGCAAGTTGCTTTATATCTTTATTTTGTGTCGTGCGGTGTGGCAACAAACGTTCTAAGCTCGGCAACGGTTGAATTGTATCCAACAACATTAAGGTGAGATGCAAAAATAATCGAATAATGTTGAAAAAAATACTTATTTTTCAATTTAATTTCAATTCGAATTAAAGAGCAATGGCCATGTCCATTTCTCTTATGTTTGCACGTTTGGGAGGTGTTACCGGCGCAAATGCAGCTGCACTTCTCTTGGATGATTACTGCGAAATTTCGTTTTATTTGCCGGGATCAATTCTAATTGGTAATTGATTGCTCAATCATTTTCTTCTATACAATTACAGATTCATTCAAATATGATGAATTCCAGTCATTGTTATATCGCTCTCAGCATCTCGTAAGATAACTGAGACGGATAATTCAGCTAGCTGAAACGACGCAAGCGTAGCATGACATAAGTCTGAACGGTGCACGTCTCTACATGAACTAAGCGTTTAAGTGAGCCATGCGGCATCTTTATACAATACACACACTGTCTATGTGAAGACTCTCGCCACACAGACTTATGTCATGCGTCACCTGCGTCGCCTGCGTCGTTTCAGCTAGCTGAATTATCCGTCTCAGTTATCTTACGAGATGCTGAGAGCGATATAACAATGACTGATGAATTCCAAATAAAATTAATTGATTTACAGCGATGGGCTTATTGGCATTTTTCATCCCGAATATTCACAAGAAAAAGCATTCTGACGAAGAGCATACTAAAGTCGATGCTCGTCTGAGCATACTCTCTTTCAGAGGATCTGTGAAAAACTTCTAAGAAGAATGATCAATTGATTATCCATTAATCATATTTTACTCTAACACTCCGATGAACATGACAGTGACACAAAACAAACAAAGCGATTTGAACTGGCTGCAACTCTAATTTTTCATTGTCAAGTCGAATTTGAAAACAAAAATAAAGACATGCTCATCAAAACAAATGAATGTTTTATTTTATGTTCAACGTAAAACCAAAAGGAAAGATATACTCAAAATCAAATTGACAGTATATAGTGGACAAAAATGATCCATTAACTTTAGGTTTCTTATTTCAAATATAACGAAAAGCCTTAAGTGAATATGTACAAATAAGAATTGAATTCAATGAAATCTCAGATATATCTTTATTAAATCTTAGTTGATTTCATATTTCCAAAAGCAAAGGAGAAATTTGGATCAAGACTTGGGAATTTATCGATTTTAATAAAATTCTTGCAATTGAGTTTAATAAAATATGCGAATCCAAAATCTGTGTTGAAACAAATCATATGAGACGAAATTAAATGCTGTATCATTTTATTGTGACAATCAGGCAGGTTAAAAACGTGATAAAATAAAATTTATATAGCACATTTGTTTGACAAAGAAAAAAGCGCCACTATAGTCCCAGTCAGAAGACGTCAAACCAACAATGACTCACATCTTGACGGCAACGCATTGGAACTGTATTGGTGGGTGTATAAGAAATTGAAACGAATAAAATGTTTCGATTCTGTAAAATAAAATGGTGCAAATATACCGATGGCACACAAGATAACCAAATTGCCTTCTTTCGGCAGGTCCAACCCGAATAAAAAATAAATAGTTTTTTTTTTCATTATTGATCGGCAAGTTGATCAAGTGCGTTTCCAAAGTAAGCGCGTTCACGCTCAGGCATTTTCATTTTGAAAATGATGTTATTGTTAGTGTAATGCTATCCGTTGAAAATTGAAAGATGAAAGTAAAAAAGAAGATAACATTGAACGAATACAAATTGAGCTATTCGTCGCTCATGGAAATTGTTTATTTGTCGTAGTGCTCGAATCGTGATCAGTTGACTCTTAACGATTACCATTATCTACTTAACAAATGAAGAAATGGAGATAAGAATTTTAGTTCTGCATGTTATCAAAATATTTCAAACTTGTATATAAGTCTGATGAATGCTAAAGCCAAATCATTTGTGATTTGTTAATTTTGTTATGCCGGGAGTTACTATCGCATTCCAATTAAAATAACATTGTATTCAACAGAAGTCTTAATCTTGTCGATAATAATAAAAAACTTGAGATGGATTATTCCGATGGCGAAAATGGTATTAAATATACGATGCTATGTAACTTTGGAATCAAATTCCCACTAATTTTCCTTTATTCATTAATTAAAAAGGCCGCAAAAATTCAGATGTTCTGTCTCAAGTATCGGATAAATTACCGCCCCGAAAAAAGCTATTAAATATGGATGACGCTATTTTCAAAACAAGTAAGTAATGAGAAATATTTAGATTAATATCTACAAGGCTCAATTTTGTTGTTGTACTCAATCAGAGTTTGGATTGTTCAACTATGCAATTATTTTCGTGAGTGCAATCACATTGAATGCAGTGGCAGTGGAAACATGTGCAGTTAGTTATGTGATTCCTGTGGCATGTGATATGAAAATGACATCCGGTCAAAAAGGGATTTTGGCAGGGGCCGCATTTTTTGGTGTAATTTGTTCATCTTATTTATGGGGCTACCTAGCGGATACTAAAGGTCGACGACGCATCATTCAGCCAACGCTGTTTTTGGCTTCTTTTTCATCTATCATTTGTTCATTTATTCAAAATATCTACATTTTTGCCGCTTTTCGATTTCTCAATGGATTTTTGTGAGTTGCAAATTTGGCTTACATTCAAGCACATTTGCGCACATACCGTAACCGAACTGATTTTCGTTCTCATGTAGCATTTCTGGGTCGGCTGCAAATATTTTCGCATATTTAGGCGAATTTCACACCAACGATAAAAGGACAACAAGTATTATTAGTATGTCATAATGGAACACAAAGTTGTTGTACTCTTATATTACCATAGACACTGATCATCTAAATTGTTTCCACTTAATAAAGGCACAACAGTAATTTACAATGGAATGTGCACGATTGTTCCTGTGACCGCGTGGGCAGTCATCAATCAAGACTGGCAATTCCAAGTGCCAATCATTGGTCTTATTTATAAGCCGTGGCGTCTATTCATGGTCGTATGCGGATTGCCTGGTTTCATTTCAGCGATTGCTTTGATTTTTTTGCCAGAATCACCGAAATTCGTTCTGAGTCAAGGGAAAAAAGCGGCAGTTTTTCAAATTTTGCAGAAAATGAATCGATGGAATAATGGTAAAAAATCAGAATTCGAAGAATTTGAAATTCTCGATGATGTCCATTCAATCGAAAACAAGCAGTGCATTTCGGAAAGCATTAAGAAAACTCGAGTCCCATTGTTAAAATCGGTTTGGAATCAAACCGTTCCCTTATTCAAACCGCCATACCTAAGATCGACGATTTTACTTTGTACAATCCAATTCAGTTTATACTCTGTATTCAACGGGTTTTTCATGTTTTTTGCCCAAATTATCAATGGAATGTCGATCAATTTGAATAGTTTCATTGATGATAGAATGCCGATGTGCGAGGCAATTAAAGTAAATACAGATAATATGATTGAAATCGAATATAATGAGACAAATAGTGAGGTAAGTGCTGCGTTTGTCCAAATGATGTATATTAATTATTATATTTGCTCAATTCATGAATAGGTTTGTATAGACAAATTGGATGTATCAGTAATGGAGAATGGTATAATATTCGAGCTAACATTCACTATAGGCTTAGCCATTGCTGGTTTACTCCTTGGAAAAGTGGGAAAATATCCAGTCATTCGTAAATATTAGCACATCAAATTTATAGTGATTGAAACTGATTTGGTCTATTTGCTCTTTTCGCTAGTGTTCATCTTATTGTCAACGGGTTTGAGTGGTATTGCTTGCATACTAGTCAATATTCCATTACTGCAGGTTATGTTATTCGTATGGTTACTGTGTTCGGGTATAGTTTCGAATGTTTTGAGTTCAGCTACTGTTGACTTGTATCCAACGACACTGAGGTAACTTCAATTAAAAGTTGCAAAAAAAAATTAAAAAAAATTAACACATTTTTATTGAATTAAAGGGCAACGGCAATATCGTTTTCGCTGATGTTTGGTCGTTTGGGGGGTGTTACTGGAGCCAATACAGTGGCTTTTCTGTTAGATGATAATTGTGAAGCTACATTCTATTTGTCGGGATCAATGTTAATCGGTAAATTCTTTGTCATTTTTTTATTCTCATTTTTTGAACACTTCATTCATTCACAGCAATTAGCGTACTGGCATTCTTCATTCCGAATATTCACAAGCGAATCACGGACTCGGATCAAGATAAAACCAAACGTGATCCCCGTTTAAGTATAATATCATTTAGGGGATCTGTGAAGAGTTTTTGAGGTGAAGACGAAACCAACCGGGCATTTTATTTAAAATCCCAGAAACCGTACACATCTGTTGAGTTTAAATGCAGATATGAAAAAGAACATTTAAAACGATATAACCAAATTGTTTGCTGTCAAACTTTGTCTCGCTCACGCCAACTGTCACACTGACTCGTTCGTGTACGAATTGCTGTTAGCGTAAAAGAGACGTTTTTTTGCAGTGGACTCAGTTTAGATGTTCTTTATGTGTTTGCATCTGTTTGATTATTATTTTATGAATTCAATAAAGAAATATATTAACCATTCCATCGCACATTTTATTTTCTGCCTCCATTTGTTCACTTTTGAATTGTTTACCATTTTGTTGATCTTCCAATGAGACAAGGTCTCTTGATAAGTGAGAATCTTTCTTCACTCGTCTGGCTGCTATCGCATCCAATTGCAACGTGAGCAAAAATGTAATGATACTACGTAGTAAAAGTCGTTGCAATCATACTGTGTGTGTTAGGTAGGTCATTAGTGTCTTCCATTTGATAGATTGTGGAAATTCAAATGATAGCTCAGAAATGCTTGTTGAATGAGAGATGCCAATTTTTTTGGTATAATTTGTTCATCTTCATCATGAGGACTCTGAGGAAGGAAGATCCCATTGTTTATAGCTACTCTTTTGTCCATTATTACCGGCTCATTTGTTGAAAATTTATATATTTTTGCTGCGTTGCGATTTCTTAATGGGTTTTGGTATGTAAAATGGAATTTTCGTGAATTTTCTGAGTTCGACACTTCCAGTATATCTTGTGCTTCAGGAAGCATTCACGCATATTTAGGTGAATTTCATAATGATATCCAAAGATCTCGAGCCATTATGAGTAATTCTCATTTGAATTTCGTTATTTCATCTGAACTACCGCTCTTGCATTTCCAATAAACTCAATTCATTTTATTAAAATAGTTTGTGCATGCTCATGCCTTTGGCTGCATATGCTGTGATCAATCAAGTTTGGCAGTTTTAAGTTCCCTACATTGATCTCACTCACAAACCATGGCGTTTCTTTCTCATTGTGAGTGGCTTACCAGAACTCTTGGCATCGATGGCTCTAATCTTTCTGCCGGAGGGCCCAAAATTTGCTCTTAGCCGAGTCAATTGAAAACCGGCAACGTACTTTGCCGAACCAAAATAGCCAGTTCGCTATATTAAAAACCATTTGGAATCAAACTGGACCGTTGCTAAAACCACCGTACTTAAAGTCAACAGTTGTAATTTGTTCATTACGTAAATCTCTTGCTTCGTATGGATCGTCATAAGATATATTTAAATGTTTTTATTGAAATTTGTTGATAAAGACAGTAACCGCTGTATAAATAGAACACAGGTAATAAAAATAAACGATATAAATGATTAAGCTTAATTTTACGACCTGAACGGCTGTCATGTAAATAGCTTTGACACGGACGATGAATTGATTATTCAATTGCAGTGTAGGACCAACAGCAAAGTGCAGCGAAGAATCCGGGCTCTCATTCAACCGGCCTTGTTGCTTGATTCTCGATGCACAGTAATGAGTCACTGACGTAGATTTTCAATGAAAACACAACCTCAGAGGCGCCATATGTCTTAATTAGCATTTGCTAAGCAAATGCTGAAAACAAACAAAGCAAAGCTCTTTAATTGTTGACAAGATGATATTTGAATTTCTTCAAATCTTTTATTACGGTATATTTCCATCAGTATTAGCCACGTACGATATATAGACAAAGAATTTATAAAAACTTGATGATAGCTTATCATAAGATCGTCACTCTTTTTATAAGATCAACACTCAACTGATGTTGTTATTGTGGCCATTTAATCACCAAATAATAAATTTGGATAGCCGACGTTATCAAATTGTATTTATAGCTAAGGCAAACTATAAGCCGCGAACAGTTCACGTTTATCGTTGCAGTAGTAGCGCTAAATCAGCTCAAATCAAGTATCAAAGAATAATTTCGACCGTTACATAACTCGCAATATCACTACTGACGTGCTGACCATTTGTACAACAGAATGTGCCAAAAAAACAATCTCCGCGATGCGGAAAATGGTAAGAATAAATAAGATTTTGTTAAAATTTAAATGTTAAACTTTTTGTTAATTTTTAGGCTGCGGTGAGCCCAAATTGTCGAATGATCTGCCGCCGAAGAAAAAAACCATATACATGGAAGAAGCGATTACGAAAACCAGTAAGTGACATGGAACACGGTGAACAGTGGTAAAACAATAGTTTAATACAGAAACATTCGAAAAATATCATTTTTACTTGATTTGTTTAGAGTTTGGGCTTTTCAATTATTACATAATATTTGTGAGCGGCATTATTTTGTATGCGGTTGGGCTGGAAACATGTGCCATTCTGTATGTGATTCCGGTTTCCACGTGTGACTTGAGCTTAACCACAAATCAAAAGGGAATTTTGGGAGCTGCTACATTCGCTGGTATAATTTGTTCCTCTCATCTATGGGGCTTTTTGGCGGATACCAAAGGCCGTCGCCGCGTCATTCTACCTTCGTTAATGGCAGCGGTTGCCATGTCTGTCGTTTGCTCATTCATACAAAACTTCTATATTTTCACTGCGCTTCGCTTTCTCAATGGATTTTTGTAAGTATCAACGAACACCAAATGCAATGAGGTCGCATTTTAAATGTAATTATTTAATACTATAGCATGTCTTGCGCTTCCGGCACGATTTATGCCTATTTGGGTGAATTTCATAATAATATTCATAGGAGCCGGGCGATTATGGGGGCTGCTATAATTTACGGTATATCATGCATGATGATACCAATTACGGCTTGGTTTTTCATTAATCAAGATTGGCAATTCCAAGTTCCTTACATTGGTCTCACTTATAAGCCATGGCGTTTGTTCGTTGTTGCGTGCGCTATACCCGGATTTATATCGGTTTTGGCTTTAACTTTACTGCCAGAATCACCGAAATTTCTTCTCAGTCAGGGAAACAAAGAAGCAGCATATCAAATCTTACAAAAAATGAATCGATGGAATAATGGTGAAAAGTGTGAGCTTGAGCTGTTCGAAATTCGCGAGGAGACTGATTCAATTGAAAAAAGGCAACGCTATTTGGACAACAAGAACAGTCGATTCCCGTTGCTGAAATCGGTTTGGGACCAAACGGCACCACTTTTCAAACCTCCATATTTAAAGTCGACCATTTTGATTTGTACCATTCAGTTTGGTATTTATTCAACGAGCACCGGATTTTTCATGTTTTTTGCTGAAGTTTTGAACAAAATGTCAGCAAACTTGGACAATTTTTATGACCAAAGAATATCCATGTGTGATGCAATCAATATGAAACCAGTAAATATGAGTGCCATCGAATATGATGTGGTTAATGATGAAGTAAGTTGTGCAAGTGTGACACCCAAATGAAGCAATGATGTGATCAATTATTTTGATTTTCAAAATAGGTTTGCATTGAAAAACTCGAACTGTCAACACTAGAAAATGGTATCGTTTTAGAAATTGCTTTTGGATTGGGCCATATTTTGGTGGGCTTACTCATCAATAAAGTCGGGAAATTTCCAATCATATGTAAGAATATTTATATTCCTTGATCTTGAAAATTAAGAGAAATCTAAATTTCCTTTGACATTTTCCTTTGAAACAGTCTTTATTTTATGTACAACTGGCTTGAGCGGAATTGGTTGCATGTTAACTGATATTCCCGCACTCCAAATATCTCTCTTCCTCTCACTTTTATCCTCTGGTGTAGCCGCCAATGTCGTGAGCTCGGCTACTGTTGAATTGTATCCAACGACGTTGAGGTAAATTGTTTGTGACAATTAAGCAAAAAAGAGATATTTTTAAACTTATTGTTTAATTAATCAACAGAGCGATGGCCCTGTGTATCTCATTGATGTTTGCTCGGTTCGGTGGTGTTGCTGGCTCGAATACAGCAGCTTTTCTATTGGATAATCATTGTGAAGCTGCGTTTTATTTGTCTGGTTCGGTTGTGACAGGTAAATTTATGGATGTTCCAAATCGGAACTAGTCCATATCCGCCAGTTTCTCATTTATACATGCTCTTTTATTTAATAATACAGCAATGGGGCTACTGGCATTCTTCATTCCGAATATTCACAAGAAAGTATCGAATGCTGCCATAGAAGAAACTAGGAACGATCCACGCTTAAGCCTCGTATCATTCAGAGGATCTGTGAAAAGTTTCTAATCACTTCGACTGAATAGATGAAAGGAAAAAGAGAAATCGAACTGACTGAAACAAGGCTGAATAACAGTAAAAAAAAAAATAAGCTAAGTCATACGCAGCAATTATGTATGAGTAAAGTTGTGAACAAAAACTGTGTCTCAGAATCTGATGACTGTTGCAAATCCCTACTTTGAATCTATTTATTATTTTTTAATATTTCGTAATAAATTCCAATTGACAAAATATGAAACAGATACGTTTGCTTTCATGCAATACTCTTTTTCGTGATTTTAGTAAAGAGAAACGGATATGGTTCTACGTAATATTTGTGGATATTATGTGTTGGTTTTGGACTGTTTACTTAATGTTCTTGTATAGATGTACAATTCACGTATTCACATGAATGGAAAAATGACAAAGGCATGATGGTAAACAAAGCAACTCTGTTTTTTCTTTGCTCTTGAAATGTGGCCTTCGCGCTAAAGTGACAACTATGACTCATGTCTAGCATTTTTCTTTGGCTCGTTTCGAATCCTTCTCATTTCGATGAAAGAAACCATGAAACCAAGAAACCCCATATGGAATCTACAATGAATGAAACTGAATGAGCAATGAGCATGTGAACACGACTGATGCGATGTGAATCAAGGGGATCATAGAAAAAATGGTATGAAGTCAAGAAAATACAAGTGGAATTGAGCGCAATAAGCAGCGAAACAGCGAGCAAAAGAAGCCAATTCACAATGCAAGTGCGAGTGTGCATGTGCACAGTGCATGGAATATGTCTATTATAATGTTGGTGCCTAATCAAAAGCAAACGAAATACAGAAAAGTGCAACCATCATTATGAATGTTTGTGTGTGAGTGTGAGTGTGCATTTGCACAACAATAGCCGAAGCAAACGAAAAAAAGGAGTACAACATGCAAAAAGTTTTATTGTTTGCAGCACTCGTTCCATTTTCCAGCCATAAAATGCTATGAATGCCATATAGAATACAAGCCATTTCAGATGTGCGTCGCATGTGTATATGTGTTTGAGTAACATTACGATTCGTGTTTATGTCAAAAGCACATTTTCTCTGGCTCCGTTTCTTTATTGTTCGCATTTTCACAATTTCTTTTGTTTCGGCCATGTGGAGACTGCACACTCATACACACATGCACACACGTTATCCATTTACGTTCGCTAGATGAAATAGCAAGAGACAAAGATGCGTTGTTCTTTTATGTCGGTCGACGACGATGGTAGATCTGTTGTTTGGCTGAAAAAAACATTCGCTTCCATTCACATACATTGGATGGAGTGTTCTTTTTCTATTCGAGCCAGAATCAGGCAGAACAGAATACGAAATTGTCGTTGTGACAAATATTGAGCTTGTGAACATAAACAGAGCGCGCGATATGGCAAAGCATAAAATAGGAGGTAACACAAAGAAAAAACACAAACTCAAATGAAAATGTAATTTCGGTTCTAGTAGTTTTGTGGTTTTACTTTTCGTGAGATTGATTTCTGGGTGGGGGGCTGAGGTAAATGGTATATCCAATTCTGCATTGAATTAACTTCAACGATATTTAAGTTGGAAATTACGATTGTTATTCATTACATCCTTAGCGAATCAAATACACAGTCTCGAATAACACACCTTGATTTTTTATCGCACAACTCCAAAGTGAATATCCATTGATGCATCATCACCAAATGTGGTGGTTTAGAAAAGCAAAACGAAAAAAATGTGCACCATCATTATTTGGCGAATAGATTGCGTTGAATTTTGTTGAGAAAACAAAGAGATTGTTTTCTACTTATGATGTGTATTGCATCGTAATCGCATTATCGTTCGTTTGCATGCGAAAATCATATTATGGCACTCTGTTTTCATCATCGTCATCGTCATCGTAATAGCATTTGCGTTTGATTGTTTGGCAATGTTTTCGCCGTTAAGCCAATGTAATTCGCCATACCGGATGGAAACGAATGCCCAAGCTTGATGAACTGCTGTGTGCAAAGCTTCAAAAAGCATTCAAACCATTTTTCGATTGAAATCCAATCAAATCAAATTGCAGCGATTTTCTTCCCGGGCGCAAACAATGAAGAAATATATCTATTGTGCAGTTTCAATGGAGAATATCATGGCGGAAAAACTCCAGTCTCCCTCTTAATGCTTCTACAATAGTTTTCCAAATTGTTCGCCAATTAGACTAAGCCAGATATTTGCAAGCGTTTTCTTCTGCCATAACACTATCGTGATGATTTCAAATTCCACACATGTGATGCAGACAAAATTGCTTTAAATATGTTTATTTGAGGGGATTTGTTCCGATGGCATAGGCGTTTATGTATGTGGAACAGACAGTCAAACACACACATATACATTTTGAATAGTTTTTACGCTTCGGAAATCTATGATGTGTTCTTATCTTTTGTTTTTAACATCCAAATAATAACGAGGACGATGCACGTAAAATGAAAGTCCCAAACCCAGAGATCGAAGTCCAAAGTGGTGGAATCGTCGCCATCACCCATATCAATGGGCTCCAAATACGCTTAGAACATTACATTTGGAAAAGGAAATGTGAAAATGCTTGAAATGCAAAAAACAAAACGTGAGCGGGAAGAAAATGTACGGCAGATAAAGTGACCCATACGATGCTCGCCTGATTCTCTAGTCAGCTTATGGCACTTATAAATATTAATGGGCGTCTTTAATTTTTCCACTTTCCTACTTTTCCTTCGATAAATAATTACAACATATATATTTATTGTTTGGTCAAACAGCAAACAAACAGCACGAGCAAATTGGTTTTATGGCGTACAAACAATGGCCGCTCCACAAATAACTCGCAACGCTTTCGCAATTGGTTTTGGCCGCACAGCAGAGCACAGCACATTTTCGATGGTATGCGGATATTGTTTTGTAAGCAATCTTCCCTGCAATCTCCACCGAATGAGATTAATTTATGCAAATCGATAAGCAAACAGCGCCAAACAAAGCAACGATACTTGATGAAATTCCCTGAAAAGCTGGTTGGTTTTATGTTGAGCTCAGTATATTTTGAGAGTTGAGTTGAGCACACATTTTTGCACAGCGTATGGAAAATTTCGCATTTACATGGGTCTGTTTAACCATTTGATAACTATCGAGATTGACCGTTCTCTATGAAGTGTATTTGGGAAAAGGTTGTTATTTGCTCTGGATAACAATAACACACACACTCACACACACTCACATTCAGAATACTAAGCACAATCCACAGCCATTTGTTTACTCTAAATCTACTTTTTTCTATGTCTAATCTAAGATGTCCTATCTAGATCATGAGAATGCCTGAGCTGTTAATCAAAATGTTAAATCGGATTTATTTTCAAGTTTTCATTCATGTGATTGGAGCTTTATTTTCTTCATGGTTTCAACACATTGGTTCGTGTAGCAAAATCTTGTCCTTTATCATTTCATTTCGACTAATTGATGGACTGTTAAAAATTTATTTCAATTGAAAAATGGCACAGTTTACAGATTGAACATGTTCACTTAACTTTTTCATACACAAATATTCGATATTGATTGAATCCATCCATCCATCGTGATGGTAGTAGAATTCATCGATGCACGCATACAGTTTTTTTCCCCCCATTTGGTCGGAACAAATTTATGTTAGACTTGTGAGCGTTCGATATATTCGTTCGGGGCACATGTTCGTTCACACATTCGTCAATAGTCAACAGTTGATCACAAATCGATTGCGATTGAATGGGAATCGAATGAAAAAGGAAAATAGAAAAAAAACCGTTTAAACTGCGTTGCAACTGATTGGAATTTGCTGTGGATGGAAATTCACACATATGCCAAACGGACGAAACGAGAAGGAAGAACACCACTCCGCCAATATTTTCGTCCATATTTTCCCGAGTCGGAAAAATCTAAATATGTAAAAAGGTCTGGTGTACCTTTTCCTCAATCATCGAATAAGACATCAATAAGCAATTTCGTAGCCAAATGAATATTCGTTCAATATATACGACGTGACCGTTTGCTGATACTTGGACCGTTCTTTTTTTGCAATTCATTTGAGAGCCGACAAAGCAAAAACGATGAAATCAAAGACGAGTATGTTTGTATCGGGTGCTCCTATCGTCTCGGAGCGACGAGATTGCGATACAGCAACAAACAGCACATAACTGATAGAAATAAAATCGAAACGAAAATTGCTTATTATTGAGGATTATTTTTATGGGAACGTTTTTTGGATTGCAAACGTTGGGCCGCATGGACCTGAGCGGCATTCGTCATATTGAATCTCTCTGGCTACCAGAGTCTGGGCCATGCGAATGGCATATGTGCGCTCTGCTTTTGATCTTTGTAGTCAAATGGGTTTACTAACATTGCAATATTTGCGCAATAATTCCATTTATATTTGGATTTTTACCTCTATGGAGTGAGCGATTGAGGGGGCCAAATCGATCGCAGATTTAAGCAGATAGCGTCGTGAGATGGCAAATCCGTGTCGGAAAATATGCTTATACATAATAATATTTATGTAATCGCTTTGCATCGCAATACCCATAGAGTCATTCGATAATAATGCACGTACCACGGGCCGGCATCCATTTTCAATGAGCTGAGAAGATGCGCTTGATTTCTTTTTCTTGATACCAAAAACGTCAAACTAGTTACGATTTATAAGAGATTCTGTGGAATTATGTTAGAACAAACGATGACCAGCGCACAAAATCATTGTTCTATTCACATCAATTGGAGCTGGAGCATAAAGTTTAGCTAGACGATCATTGGTTTTGACGTCGTTTTCGCTGCATTTATCACATTCTTCGCACAATGTTCCATTTGCATTTATCGATTTCAACAGGGAATATCGATGTAGCTCTGTCACATCCATTGTGTTTAAAATCGAATTATGACTTGGCTAATCTGATTTGTGTGCATCGATAACAGATAGGAATCATGGTTTCATCGATTGCACACATCTCAAACACATCAATGCAAAATCGATGATGAAGATAAAGACTTTGCAAACATTCATCCATCCAATTGTTCTGTTGACGTCGGCAGAATCGATCAATTTCATTCGACTGACCGTCGATTGCCAAGAGCATCACATTACTTTTTTTTCACATACGCTCAATTGCAAAATGTGCAAATAATACGAACACATATGTACATATATAAGCATTCATTGCAACGCGAGGGGGAAAGCACCATCAAAAATGAGCAAAAACCAAAAGAAAACTAGAGG